TCAATACATAAGGGAACTGCTAACAGCTATAAAAGAGGAAATCAACAGTAACACAAAATAGTGGGGGACTTTAGCACCTCACTTACACCAATGGACAGATCATCCAAAATGAAAATAAATAAGGAAACAGAAGCTTTAAATGACATAATAGACCAGATAGATTTAATTGATATTTATAGGACATTCCATCCAAAAACAGCAGGTTACACTTCCTTCTCAAGTGCGCATGGAACATTCCCAGGATAGATCATATCTTGGGTCACAAATCAAGCCTCAGTAAATTTAAGAAAATTGAAATCATACCAAGCATCTTTTCTGATCACAACACTATGAGATGAGAAATGAATTACAGGGGAAAAAAACGTGAAAAACACAAACACATGGAGGTTAAACAATACGTTACTGAATAACCAAGAGACCACTGAAGAAATCAAAGAGGAAATCAAAAAGAAGGAAGAGGGAAGCTTATATACAAGCCTACCTCAAGAAACGAGAAAAATCTCAAATAAACAATCTAACCTTACCCCTAAAGTAACTAGAGAAAGAAGAACAAACAAAACGCAAAGTTAGCAGAAGGAAAGAAATCGTCAAGATCAAAGCAGAAATAAATGAAATAGAAACAAAGAAAACAATAGCAAAGGTCAATAAAACTAAAAGCTGGTTCTTTGAGAACATAAACAAACTTGATAAACCATTAGCCAGACTCATCAAGAAAAAGAGGGAGAGGACTCAAATCAATAAAATTAGAAATGAAAAAGGAGAAGTTACAACAGACACTGCAGAAATACAAAGCATCCTAAGAGACTGCTACAAGCAACTCTATGCCAATAAAATGGACAATCTGGAAGAAATGACAAATTCTTAGAAAGGTATAACCTTCCAAGACTGAACCAGGAAGAAATAGAAAATATGAACAGGCCAATCACAAGTAATGAAATTGAAACTGTGATTTAAAAACTTCCAACAAACAAAAGTCCAGGACCAAATGGCTTCACAGGTGAATTGTATCAAATATTTAGAGAAGAGCTAACACCTATCCTTCTCAAACTCTTCCAAAAACTTGCAGAGGAAGGAACGCTCCCAAACTCATTCTGTGAGGCCACAATCACCCTGATACCAAAACCAGACAAAGATACTACAAAAAAAGAAAATTACACACCAATATCACTGATGAATATAGATGCAAAAATCCTCAACAAAATACTAGCAAACAGAATCCAACAACAAATTAAAAGGATCATACACCATGATCAAGTGGGATTTATCCCAGGGATGCAAGGATCCTTCAATATACACAAATCAATCAGTGTGATACACCATTTAACAAATTTAAGGATAAAAGCCATATGATCATCTCAATAAATGCAGAAACAGCTTTTGACAAAATTCAATGCCCATTTATGATAAAAACTCTCCAGAAAGTGGGCATAGAGGGAACCTACCTCAACATGATAAAGGTCATATACAACAAACCCACAGCAAACATCATTCTCAATTGTGAAAAACTGAAAGCATTTCCTCTAAAATCAGGAACAAGACAAGGATGTCCACTCTCACCGTTATTATTCAACATAGTTTTGGAAATCCTAGTGACGGCAATCAGAGAAGAAAAAGAAATAAAAGAAATACAAATTGGAAAAGAAGTAAAACTGTCACTCTTTGCAGATGACTTGATACTATACATAGAGAATCCTAAAGATGCCACCAGAAAACTACTAGAGCTAATCAATGAATTTGGTTAAGCTGAAGGATATGAAATTAATGCACAGAAATCTCTTGCATTCCTATACACAAATGATGAAAAATCTGAAAGAGAAATTAAGGAAACACTCCCGTTTACCACTGCAACACAAGGAATAAAATACCTAGGAATAAACCTACCTAGAGAGACAAAAGACCTGTATGCAGAAAACTATGACACTGATGAAAGAAATTAAAGATGATACCAACAGATGGAGAGATATACCATGTTCTTGGATTGGAAGAATCAATAATGTGAAAATGACTATACTACCCAAAGCAATCTACAGATTCAATGCAATCCCTATCAAATTACCAATGGCATTTTTTACGGAACTAGAACAAATAATCTTAAATTTTGTATGGAGATACAAACAACCCGAATAGCCAAAGCAGTCTTGAGGGGAAAAAACGGAGCTGGAGGAACCACACTCCCTGACTTCAGACTACACTACAAAGCTACAGTAATCAAGACAATATGGTGCTGGCCAAAAACAGAAATATAAATCAATGGAACAAGATAGAAAGCCCAGAGATAAACCCACGCACCTATGATCAACTAACCTATGACAAAGGAGGCAACAATATACAATGGAGAAAAGACAGTCTCTTCAATAAATGGTGCTGGGAAAACTGGACAGCTACATGTAAAAGAATGAAATTAGAACACTCCCTAACACCACATACAAAAATAAACTCAAAATGGATTCGAGACATAAGTATAAGACCAGACACTATAAAACTCTTAGAGGAAAACATAGGAAGAACACTCTTTGACATAAATCACAGCAAGATCTTTTTTGATCCACCTCCTAGAGTAATGGAAATAAAAACAAAAATAAACAAATGGAACCTAATGAAACTTCAAAGCTTTTGCACAGCAAAGGAAACTACAAACAAGACAAAAAGACAACCCTCAGAATGGGAGAATATATTTTCAAATGAATCAATGGACAAAGGATTAATCTCCAAAATATATAAACAGCTCATGCAGCTCAATATTAAAGAAACAATCCAATCCAAAAATGGGTAGAAGACCTAAATAGACATTTCTCCAAACAAGACATACAGATGGCCAAGAAGCATATGAAAAGCTGCTCAACATCAATAATTATTAGAGAAATGCCAATCAAAACTACAATGAGGTATCACCTCACACCAGTTAGAATGGGCATCATCAGAAAATCTATAAACAACAAATGATGGAGAGGGTGTGGAGAAAAGGGAACCCTGTTGCACTGTTTGTGGGAATGTAAATGATACAGCCACTATGGAGAACAATATGGAGGTTCCTTAAAAAACTAAAAATAGAATTACCATATGATCCAGCAATCCCACTACTGGGCATATACCCAGAGAAAACCATAATTCAAAAAGACACATGCACCCCAATGTTCATTGCAGCACTATTTACAATAGCCAGGTCATGGAAGCAATCTAAATGTCCAACGAGAGACGAATGGATAAACAAGATGTGGTAGATATATACAATGGAATATTACTCAGCCATAAAAAGGAACGAAACTGGGTCATTTGTTGAGACGTGGATGGATCTAGAGGCTGTCATACAGAGTGAAGTAAGTCAGAAAGAGAAAAACAAATATCATATATTAAGGCATGTATGTGGAACCTAGAAAAATGGTACAGATGAACCACTTTTCAGGGCAGAAGTTGAGACACAGATGTAGAGAATAAACATATGGACACCAAGGGGGGAAAGCCTCGGGAGGGTGGGGATGGTGGTGTGCTGAATTGGGCAATTGAGATTGACATGTATACACTGATGTGTATAAAACTGTAGACTAATAAGAACCTGCTGTATAAAAAATGAATAAAATAAAATTTATAAAAAAGAAAGGTGAATCAAAATAGATTTCACATATAGAAAATATTGATGAGCATTCATTGAATAAGTTGAAATATAGAACTAAGAAAAATCAACTATTAAGAATAATTATTTCAGGAGAGAACTTAAATGTGAAACCTTGACATTAAAATGTTGCATATTTGAAAGTTACCAAGAGAGTAAAAACAGTTCTCATCCCCCCCCCAAAAAAGTAACTATTTATGCTGACAGACGTTAACTAGACTTATTGTGGTAATCATTTCACAATGTATACAAATATCAGATCATGTTGTGCACCTGAAACTAATGTTATATGTCAATTATACCTCAATTTGTAAAGTGACATGGAAGATAAGGGGCAAAGAAAAAAATGAAGAATGTTAATTTCTGCAGCTTTCATAGTAACAAATAAGCAATACTGCATTTTTTTTTTAAGTTTTAAAGACTGTCTGGCCTCCTGGTGTTCCTTTTTTTAAACCATAAAAGAAATATTTCAAAAAATAAAATACTCTGTGGTAGAAAATCTTATGACTATTTCAACAACTTTCAGTTTCACTTTAGGTTTCTTTTTTTCTGAGGTCAAGTAAAATTAAATCTAAATATCTATCAAGTAGCTCCCGTAGTATGGTTTTCTTTAAATTTTCTATATGTCAATTCTTACATTTGTATGTATATAAAGGATCACTGGAAAGATGGTCACCATTTAATGTTAATAATGGTAATTTCTGGTTGGATGGGAGGGATGTTTATTTCCTTGGTACTATGCTTTTTTCTGCTTCACTTGAGTTCTTCATAGTGAGATATATCATCCACAAAGTGTCATAATTAAGGCTATTATGAGGTTTAGAAATAAGCCAAATTTTTTAAGGGAATGATGTCTTAAAAAGTAGTTTTCAGACAAGCTCTTACTGACCTTATAAAATAGAACAGTAATGGCAGGTAATAAAGTAGAACCTGAATACTATGAGGATCACTCTTCCCTAAATGAAGGTCTACTTTTTTTTTTAATGGCTAATGAAAAACAAGAACTTTTAAAACTTTCTTGCAACAAACTCAACTAAGAAGGTATTAAAAACACAGCACGTTTATTTAAACTGTTACTCTTCATAATGCATTGAATCTTATTACAGGTCAATATCTTCATTCTATTACCTTATTGGGTACATTCATTTGTGTTATATAAACCTTCATTTAAAATTAAAGAATTAAAAGTACAGCTAAGAACACAGTCATGATCTGCATGAGAGGATTCACCATCATGCACCCTAGTCCCTAATGTGGTTATTTTTTCTGTTTCCTGGGCCTCTCAAGCTTAGACTTGTTTTCATTTCAGAGAAAATAAAGTAGCTCTGCTGAGCTCTACCCCGCGAGGGCCCAGCCGCTGCACTATCAGTGTGTGTTGACCCAGTGGTACCTGTCCACCCGGTGCCCAGCAGCAGGCCTGTGACCCTTAGGGATCTTATGCAATGCATGATAAGCATTTCCTAGGAGGCCCATTCGGCCATCCCCCATATTGTTTTTGCGGGGAATATGGAACCAAGATTGAAAGGGCTGTTTCAAGTTTTCAACCTGGGGAGAAAAAAAGAAGAAAAAAGGAGCATGATGATTTTCTGTAAACTGATAAGCCACTTCTAAGGATTAAATATAAACCCATAACTCACAGGTTCAACTTTTCAAAAGCATAGGAAATACAAATGAATAGAAATCAAAGTAGATCATTATCTTTGGAAAATTGAGTTGCATTTTAGGGTATGAAGTAAGTCACTTCATATCTTTTAACAAAATTCTTTAGTCCAACCAAGAATTTTAAAAACAAAAAATTTACTCAAATTAGTATATATTCCTGTGTTCTCTCCTACCTGATCCCCACCTCGCTCAACCCAAAACTATCTAATCACAATCTCTGGGGTTGAGGTCTAGAAACATCCATCTTAAACATCTCAGATGACCAATATAAATGTTTTGCAGACCACACTTTCAAAGGACATTGTTCTAAAAGAATATAGCTGACTACATATCTGATCCTTAGATTAAGAAGATCTCTCTAAGCATAAAAATAGAATTAAGGGCAAACATTTTACTACATAATTTTAAACTTTACATATAGAACTAAATATAAACTACATATATAGTTTAGAAAACTAAACAAGCTAGGGAAAAAAGTTTTCTAGTAATATGACAAGGGGTTAAAATATTTCTAACCTTTGAAAAGCCTTTAAAAACACATTAGGACCTCAAATGATAAATGGGTGAAGGAGAAAAAATTCATAAGACAGTAAGTAACTACAACACTTAGGTACATGGAGTTTTTGTTTTAATGTTTAATTTAATTAATAAAAATGATATTTTTCAATGAGAATACCCAGTTTTAGGGAAAATGATAAACACTTTTACATAGAGCTGGTAAGACTACAAACAAAGACATCTTTCTAGAAGGTACTTTGTCCTGTGTTAAGAACTCATAAAATATTCATACACAATGACCCAGTAATTACATGTCTGAGAATCAAATCTCTAGAAATAACTTAGAATTCTGACACCTCTGTAAAAATTAGCTTTTTTACTATCACAACAATGTGAAAACAACCTAGATGTCTTCCAATAATACATTAGCTAAAAAATTATAAGGGAAGCAAATGATTTAAAATATTTAAATTGCTTTAATGTGTCAATACATAAGTGATAAAGAAAACAAATTTACATACATACAAAGGGTCAGAGATTCTCCCTAAATCAGTGCGCACTCAGCCAAGTAGAGGGTATAAAGAGAGAGAAGGAAGAAAAAAAGACAGAAAAGGTTTTGCCAGAATATTATTATTGTGATTTTAATCTTTATAATCTTTCCATATTTTCCAATTATTTGTTTCTTTGCTTTTACAGTGAGCATACTCTTTTCAGAATTAGAGTAGAAAAAAAATGCACAGAGAAGAAATGGAGAACACTTTACCTGATAAATACTCTTTGGATTGCTGACTTTAGGAATTATCTGAGGTTCTTTGTTACAACTTTCTTCATCAGAGGAAGTGCCAGAAGAGTAGTCTAACGTGGCTCTATTAACAGCATCACTGATTTGTTGGGATAATTCCCATTCCTCCCATCTGTCTTTGAAAGAAGCAATTGTAAATGGATGATTTTTCTCACCATACCTAAGTAGGAAAGGAAAATAAAGCATTCATTAGGGATTCAAATTCTCACAGGTTTTATCTCTAATCTTTTCTGGAAACAACTCAGTAATTTACAAGAAGAGTTACTTTAAAAAAAAAAAAAAGAAAACAAATTCTCAAAGCTTGGCCAAGATAGTGGAGTAGGAAGATCCTGAGCCTACCTCCTCTCATGGGCACACCAAGATTACAACTATTTAGAGAGCAACTATTGATGAGAGACTGGAATCTAGCAGAAAAGATTTCTACAGCTAAAGTTATAGAGAAGGAACCACAATGAGACCAGTAAGAGGGGCAGAGTCATGGTATAGGTCAGACCCATACCCCTGGGTGGGCAACACACAAGTCGGGGGGCTAATTACAGTTGTAGAGGTTCTCCCGAAGAAGCAATGGGTCTGAGCCCCACATGGAGCTTCCCAGACCAGGGATCCTGTACCAGGAAGATGAGCCCCCAGAATGCTTGGCTTTGAATGCCAGTGGGGCTTACTTTGGGAAAGTAGGAGGGCTGTGGGAAATAGAGATGCCACTCGTAAAGGGCCCACACAAAATCTCCAGGACCCAGGGCAGAAGCAGTAATTTGAAAGGAGCCTGGGTCAGACTCACCAGCTGATCTTGGAGAGCTTCCTGGAGAGGCAGGGGGCAACTTGAGCTCATCCTGGGGACACAAACACTGGCAGCAACCATTTTGGGGAGCTTGTTCTACCACGTGGACATTCATGCTGGCAAGCGCCATTTTGAAATCCTTCCTCTAGCTTATTAGAACCAGGACCCAGACCTGCCCATCAGCCCTTCAGCACCAGTGCTGAGATGCCTCAGGCCAAGCAACTAGCCAGGTGGGAAAACAGCCCCACCTACTAGCAGGTACACAGCCTTAAGAGCCCCTGAGCCCACAGATGCCCCAGGATGCAGCACTGTCCAACAGAGGGCCCAGGGCCTGGCCCCACACACCAGTGCACCAGCACTAGCCCCAGGATCCACAGGGCCCTGCAGGCAGAGACCCCAGGACCCAGCTCTGCCTACCAGTGGGAAGGAATCGGCCCCAGGATACCCTGGACCCTGACCCCACCACCACCAAGGAGCCAGCACCAGCCCAGGGAGGAACCTCACCCACCAGTGGGCATCCTCAAGACCCCTGGGCCCTGGCTTCCCAGCCCACCCACCAGCAGGCTAACATCAGCTCCAAGATCACCTGGGCCCAGGCCCCATCTACCAACAGGCCAACACTAGCTCTGAGACACCTTGGGTCCCTCAGCCAGCCATTCGGGGATACAGCCCCACCTACCAGCAAGCCAAAACAAGCTTTGGGACACCTCAGACCATGTAGCCAGCTATGTCAGGGAGCTGCCCCACCCCCCAGCAGGCCTATACCAGCTAACTCTAGGACCCACAGGCCCTGCAGCCAGAAATTTCAGGACTCAGCTCTAGTGAGCCAACACTAGCCCCTGCACCCTCTCAACCAGAGCCCAACCCACTGGCAGGCCAACACCAGCTCCAGGACACCATGAACCCCTCAGCCAGCCACTTTGGGATCCAGCCCCATTCACCAATGGGCCAGCATCAACTCTGAGACACCCCAAAATGCACAACCAGTTGTATCAGGAACTGACCCTACCCACCAGCAGACTGACACTAGAACTGGAAACCTCAGCCCCACAACCACCAAGGCCAGAACCCAGCTCTGCCCATCAGTGAGCCAGCACTAGCCCCAGGACCCGCTTCTCCATGGTTCCACAGCCAGTTTCCTAATGACCCAACATCACAACCAGCAGCTGGCAGCCTCCATACATGGCAGGGCCTGGCAACCAACCAGATCGGGGACCAGCCCCACCTACTAGACCACCCACAGTAGTCAGTCCACCACAACATAAGGACCCACACATCCCACATAGGGGGCATCCCTAGAGCATATAGTCCTGGTGACCAGAGGGGAGTGCACTGCTGGGATGCACAGGGTGTCTCCTACAAAAGGCTACTTCTCCAAAGCCAGGAAATGTTATCAACCAACCAGATACATAGAAATAAAAACAAATTAGGCAAAATGAGGAAACAGAGGAACATGTTCCAAATGAAGGAATGGGATAAAACCCCAGAAGAAGAATTTTAGGAGAAAGGTAATCTACCCAATAAAGAGTTGAAGGTAATGATCATAAAGATGAACAAAGAACTTGGGAGAAGAATGTAGGGAAATAGTGAGAAGTTAAACAAAGGGTTAGAAGATACAAAGAAGAACAAAGCAGAACTGGAGAATTTCACTGAAGTGAAAATACACTAGAAGGAATCAACAGTAGACTAGATGATACAGAGGAACAGATCAGTGAGCTGGAAGACAGAGTAATAGAAATCACTGAAGCTGAAACAGAAAAAAAGAATAAAAAGAAATTAGAATACTTTAAGAGATCTCTGGAAAAACACCAAGAATGCTAACATTCACATTATAGGGATCCTAGAAGGAGAAAAGAAAAAGGGTCAGAGAATATATTTGAAGACATATAGCTGAAAACTTCCCTACCTGGCAGAGGAAACAGATATCCAGGTCCAGGAAACACAGAGAGCCTCAAACAGGATCAACCCAAGGAGGAACACACCAAGATACATTGTAATTAAAATGGCAAAAATTAAAGATAAAGAGAGGATATTAAAAGCAAGGAAAAAGCAACAGGTTGCATGTAAGGGGACTCCCCATAAAGCTATCAGCTGACTTTTCAGCAGAAACTTTGCAGGTCAGAAGGGTGTGTTGCAGTATATTTAAAGTGATGAAATGAAAAACCTATGGCCAAGAATATTCTACTTGGCAAGGCTTACCCTCAGATTTGAAAGAGAGATCAAAAGTTTTACAGGTAAGCAAAAGCTAAAAGAGTCCATCATCACCAAAGCAGCTTTACAAGAAATGTTAAAAGGGGCTTCGCTAAGCAAAAAAGGAAAACCACAACTAGAAACATGAAAATTACAAACGGAAAAAGCTCATTGGTAAAGGCAAAATATACAATAAAGGCAGTAAGATCAACCACATACAAAGCTAATAGGAAGGTTAAAAGACAAAAGTAGTAAAATTGCCTAGATCTGCAATAAGTAGTTAAGGGATACACAAAACAATTAGATGGAAAATATGATGTAAAAAAGCAGTAATCATGAGAGGGGAGGAGTAAAAATGCAGGGTTGTTAAAATGCATTTGAAATTAAGAGATGAGCAATTTAAATAATCACATATATAGATTGCTATATATAAACCTCATGGTAACCAAAAATTAAAATCCATAATAGATACACAAAAAACAGAAAGAAATTTGAACATAACACTATGTTATGATGTTAAGATAGTCATCAAATAACGAGGGAAGAGAGAAAAGAAGAAAGGAACAAAATAACTACAAAAACAACACCAAAACAATTAATAAACTGGCTGTAAGTACATACCAATCAATAATTATGTTAAATGTAACTGGAATAAACGTTCTAATCAAAAGATATAGAGTGACTGAAGATACAAAAACAATACTCATATATATGCTGTCTACAAGAAACTCACTTCATATCTAAAGTCACACATACACTGAAAGTGAGAGGACAGGAAAAGGTATACCATGTAAATAGAAATGAAAAGAAAGTCAGGGTAGCAACACTTACACAAAGTAGACAAAGTAGACTCTAAGACAAAGTAGACTTTAAAACAAAAACTGTAACAAGAGACAAAGAAGGACATTACATAATGATCAAGGGATCAATCCAAGAAGAAGGTATAACAATTGTAAATATATATGCACCCAACATAGGAGCACCTAAATATGTAAAGTTAATATTAACAGAGATACAGGGACAACTTGACAGTAACACAATAATAGTAGGGGACTTTAACTCCCCACTTATATCAATGGACATATCACCCAGACAGAAAATCAAGAGGGAAACACTAGTCTTAAATGACACAGTAGACCAAATGGACCTAACAGATATCTACAGGGCATTCCATCCAAAAGCAGCAGAATACACATTCTTTTCAAGTTTACATGGAACATTCTCCAGGACAAATCACATGCTAGGCTACAAATCAATTCTCAGTACATTTAAGAAGACTGAAATCATATTGAGCATCTTTTCTGACCACAATGCTACAAAACTAGAAATCACTGTAAGAAAACTGAAAAAAAAACCCGCAAACATGTAAAGGCTAAACAATATAAACTAAACAACCAATGGATCATTGAAGAAATCAAAGAGGAAATCAAAAAATACCTGGAGACAAATGAAAACATAAACACAATGATCCAAAAATCTATGGGATGCAGCAAAAGTAGTTCTAAGAGGGAAGTTCATAGTGATACAAGCCTACCTTGGGAAACAAAAGTCTCAAACAGCCTAACCTTACATCGAAAGAAACTAGAAGAAGACAAATAAAGTCCAAAGTTGGTAGAAGGAAAGAAATTATAAATATCAGAGCAGAAATGAAATAGAGACAAAAAACAAACAAAAAATAGATCAATGAAACTAAGAGGTGGTTCTTTGAAAAGATAAACAAAATTGATAAACCTTTAGCCAGACTCATCAAGAGAAAAAGAGAGGGCCCAAATCAATAAAATCAGAAATAAAAAAGAAGTTACAAACAATAAAAAGATCACAAGAGATTACTATGAATAACCATATGCAAATAAAATGGACAACCTAGAAGAAATGGACAAATTCCTAGAACTGTACAATCTCCCAAGACTGAACCAGGCTGAAATAGAAAACATGAACAGACCAATTACCAGTAATGAAATTGAATTAATAATGGAGAAAAAAAAAAGAAACCCCCAACCAACAAAATTCCAGGACCAGACAGCTTTACAGGTGAGTTCTAGCAAACATTTAGAGAAGAGTGAACACCTATCCTTCTCAAACTCTTCCAAAAAATTGCAGAGGAAGGAACACTTCCAAACTCATTCTATGAGGCCACATCACCCTGATACCAAAACCAGACAAAGATATCACAGAAAAAATTACAGGTCAGT